ACTCACAAGTGAAGTCCAGCCAAGTTGACAGATCTTCAACTATCACAGCATCTTACCCTCTTAAGTTTTTAAGAAACGTATTTGTAAAGTTTAAAATTTCTGGCTGCTAAAAACTTTTCAAAAAGCATCACAACTGAGTTTAAAATCTCAATTTAAAAAATTTTAAGAGCAGTAACTTGATAAACCATACAAACCATGCCTCACATCTTATTGTCTTCTACTTTTTCATTTATTTTTTAGACAGCATTTTCCTCCTTTTCTCAAAAAGAAATTCCTATAAATTACCAATGGGAAACAGATTTCCTTTGGAAATCTACCTCCAGGCCTCTATACCCACTCTGGAAAGAACTAAATCTATACTCCATCAAGTTCTTAATTTCTTCCCAAAGTAGTAGATCTTCCATAAATAATATTAAGACTAATATTCAAATCAGAGGAAATATTGACTCCCATTCAAACCTTCCTCAAAAAAGTCTATTCCCAAATTACATTTTTAACTCCCCCATGATTCTCTTTTAAAAAGAAAAGATGAAAACAAAATCTATCTGCTAATGATTTTATTCATGAATGTATAATGGAACTCAAAATAGCAAAGAACAAGAAAATTTTTCATATTAATATTTATCAACCTAATATATCAGAGAATACATCTATTTTCCATGTAACGAACAAAAATGCCTTAAAGGCACGTATGACAATATAAATATTGTCCACTTTGTGGAAATTTAAGGTAGCAGAGTTAACACAGTTTGTCAGAAAAGCTCAAATTACAGTCAAACACATATAATTCAACAGAAATCAAATGTAATTGATAAAATAACCATCTCATGGCTAATCTTGGTAAAGTGCTATTTTCATACTGAAGAAGCAGTAAGTAAAGACTACAAAATTGTTTTAAATGCTGAACCATCATGCTGAAATTTTTGTTCAGTATTCACCACGTTCATCACATTCATAGGTCCCCACTGTGAGGTCATAAATGCTATTTAGAAATTTTAAAAAATCTTTTAGTTCCCAGATTATTTCCTGGAAGTTTAAAATTATTACAGCATTGCTAAATGAAGCTTTTCATGATGTTGTTGTTGTTGTTACGTGCCATCGAGTCGGACCCAACTCATAGCGACCCCTCCTTGGGTTGCCAAGGCAGTATCACTACGGAAGTAGATTGCCCAACCTTCCTTCCGAGGAGTGGCTGATGGGTTTGAACCGCCAGCCTTCTGGTTAACAGTCAAGTGCCTTAGGCACTATGCTACCAGAGCTCCCGCTTTTCATAATACAGGAGTGTATTTGACACAGCAAACAACTTTCCATTGCTGTAAACATGATCTTTGGTTTCAAGCTGTCCTGGTATCCTTTTTGTTGGTTAATAAAATATTTATGAAAAAGTACACTAACTTCATCTGAACCACAGAAGTAAACTGGGTCAATGACCTAAGAGCAATGAATGGCACATATCAAGAAATCTGGCAAAATTAGTTCCCTGAAATCCACAACTGCCATTTTCAGTGTTACAGGAAGTCAGTATTATTGAGTGATTTACCTCCTTTCATCAATGACCTAAATGGATTAACAGAATTAGCCATTGTGTCATGTGGAAATAGTCTATTAAGATGAAATTAGTTGGGGAAAAAAAATCTAATGAAGGCACAGAGGTAAATTTGAAACTGATAAATAAGACCAATTAAACTACATATGCAACATGGCTGTGTCCATCCCAAGCACACACACCCTCCTCATGTTTAGAGGCTGAGTATCATCACTGCATAGATTCTACCACATGGAAGAACTCTATGCCAGTGGGTGTGCATATGCCAGAGGTCAGAACTAGCTGGTGGTTTCCCAAAATTGCTAAGACTTTGAATGACACAAGTTGACCTTTCCCTAAAATGAAACCACTAAGGTTTTAAATTAATGGAGCAAAGGGATAAAATAATATTACAAACTGTGAGAAGCCATAGTTCAAACTCAGAAAGAATAGGCTCAATCTCATGACTGAAGGCCATTGATCTCTTCTCTCTCTTCTTGAATTATCAAATGCAAATGTCTTTTAGCAATGGCAGCATTCAAATCCCACAAAAAATCAAGTAGTGCCCCTTGCAGGAGCACCTCCATTGGCACAAACTGTAAAACCTGCTGGGGGGCATCAGAGTTGAGCAATGTGCTCAACAATTCATTCACATTCTGTAGATACTGGAAAACTGGATTTGGAAAGTCCTGAAAGCCAACACACAGCAAGACTGCACAACTTCTCAGAGGCTCAGAGGATGTGGGACAAGAAAATGTGATAAATTGAAAACAGCCTTTGAGTACAAAGATCAAACCAGCCATAAATCTTGTGAAACAAGAAAGTATAGGCAAAATCAAAGCATCTCCTGCATGAAGCTGCCGTAATGAATGTAGCAATGAATGTAAAAATAATTGCTGGTATTTTGGGTCTCCATCATGAAGCAATGAGCAGGTGAAAGTCAAGAGTTCAGGTGATTCCAGGAACTGAACTTCCAATGGTACATTCATTTTGATATCACGGAAAGGTGGCAAACCTACAAGCAGGCACTTTATTTGATTGCTGGGTCTTACAACCTGCTCATCCTGAAGACACTTGGTAAGGCTAAACAATTGAGAAAGTATCAGTTCTTCAGAAAAAACATGACAAGAACAATACTGCTGTTTTGGCCTAAACTTGGAATCCAAATTCAAAGTGCCCTCTAATGACTTTTCAATTACCTCATTTAGAGTCTTTAAAATTTCACCATCACAAAATGGAGAACACTTTACCTTTGGCAGTTTCTTTCCCTCTAAAATATGCCATAAGTGACATTCGAGATTGGAATCTGTCCTTTCTAAAAGAGAACTCTGCCCAGGATGATATACAGCATGTTCTTCAGCCCAACTATTAAAGTATCCTTTAGCCAACTTATCTTTCCATGAAAGGGTTTCTAGCATCTTCCTTTCATTGTAGGTTTTAAAATATCTGTTCCTCTGCCCAAACCATTTTGTATTTGTACTACAACCAATATTAGATCTTTTTACTAGCCAATTATTTCTGGAAAGAGGCTTCAATTGAAACTTCTGCATGAAATATTGTACAGCACAGTCCCTTAAATTATTTAGCTTTGCCTGTTCCTCTCTTCCCATGCACTCAAATAGACGAATGTTCTCAGAAATAGTCTCCAGCTGGTATTTATGAAAGAACATGCAACACTCTTCATGTCTTTTAAGAAAAGATTCAGGAATTATATGATGGGGAAAGAGAGCTTTGTTGGTCATTTCAGTCCCAAAATTCAGCATCATCTTAGACAAAAGAGGCTGGATGGCCTCTCTTCCCTTATAATGGAGACATACCACATAGACTTCTGAGTTCCCTGCCTTGCTAGTAGCAGGTTTGAAAACATGGACTTGGTCAAAAGAACAGTTTAGTAGATACATCAGGTTTATGGAACAATGTTCAAACAAAGTAAACATCTTCACAACAAAAGAGCCACCATTTCCAAGAGTCGTCAGAGCAGTGACAACTTCACAGTAATGCAAAGAAGAGACTAAAGCTTCTTGTTCACCTGGGTTTCCTTGGCAATCAAAACTCCCGTCTGCAGTGATCAAGTGAATGGTAGCCATGTTGCTTATGAAATTCTGAAGACCAGTGAGATATTTCAGTGTCATGATATCACCAGTGTTATCTGGACCAAAATACCACCAATATAAGGTATTTGCAATAAGTCGATCATCCATAATCATCATTAGATTGTCATTTGCTTCATGGTATGGATTCAGAGTATTGGCTACCCAACTCCATTCACAGGGAAATCGATGGGATTTTAAGTAGTGATTAAGACTAGCTATAAAAGCTCCAGGAGCTTCACAAAGGTGTAGGGAATTTAGTTTTCCATTCTGAAAAGCTTCCTGTGGAATAAGTGGAAAGCTGCACAAAATCTCATGAAACTTACACCATGCTTGAGTACAGAGTTCAGCATTCACAGATTTTCTCACATGAGAAATTATTTTTCCAGCTTTATTAGTGAAAGAAGTGTGCTCATGCCACTCATCAAGCTTTTTATCACTCAGCAGGTTTTTTACTTCATTTAGAGAGTTCTTCAAATCAAGAAATGAATTAAATTCCATGTGGTCACAGGTGAAAAGCTCACTGGGATCTGGTAACTGCCATTCATTATTTTGTGGCTTACCATAAGAAAAGTTCTTGGCAAAGAGTTCAAAAATGTCCGCAAGAACATCCGGGCCGAACACCTCAGTACTTGCTATCTGATGAACTGGTGGCTTTTTGTACTTACTCATTTTCAAATTAAGTTAAAATCTAGGAAAAGAAACACATAGTTAATACATCAAATTTACTAGTGAATGAAATCAGCATCAAACGTGATCATACTCGTGACAAACACCATTAAGAAAGAACATAGACTTTGATATCCAACAATCCTGGGTTCAAATTCCAGCTCTGCCTCTCACAGCTTCGTAAGTGGCCTTGAGCTTTCTGTTTCTTCTCATTAAAATATATATACACCATTTTTTAAAACGAACACACAACATGCTAGCATATAAAAAGCATATACAAAGCAGAGTCATCAGTATATGGCAGCTCTTATCACCATATGAATTTATCTAACTGTTCCCCAAGTTCTCCTCTACCCACAGCTGTGATAACACCACACTGCTCCACCCATACACTTACTTACAGGTTCATCCCTGAACGTGATCTCTGATCAAGTTGTAACAGGTGACTTTCAACTTTTCTTAGTGTCTTCTAGGCCAGGGTCCCATACATGAACCCAGGACTGGTCCTACTACTCGGCCTCTCTGCCAGCACCCACTTACCCACCTAAGAGGATTGCTGAATACATCCTCTGTCCAGATTTACAGCAATGGTAAGTGCTTTGGTGGTGCCAATTACCTGAGTAGGCCACCAAATGAAACTCATTACCATTCTGCTCAGACACTGTGCTTTACCTGACTGGCTAGCCTCCCTATGCTTGATCCTGAAATTGACCTATAGTTCACACTGGCATGTATCTAAACTATATATTCATGACTCATCTGGTGTGCTCAGGCAACCACCAACTAAATTCCTAAGGTTCATGCTTACGCTAAAAAATGTCATTATATCTTCTTGCCACTAAAACTTTTTAACACATTTTGATAGAATTTTAAACTGAAGAAATACCCTTATTGAATACATAAACTACAAATAGTCATTCTACATTCTGTGTTCTAACATCACATAAGATAACAAAGCATCTGTCCTCTGTTGAGAGAAAGGGATATAAGAGAAAGGAGTTATGGCTTAATGGCAAAATGTTGGAAAAGTTCTAAATCCCAGGAGATAGACAATGAATACTGCACTGTACCTGTTAATGCAGTTTTAACAATAGGTGTTTTAGTTCATGAATTCTACCTTTATTTAGTAGATTCAACATATTCTACAACCAGTTTTCAAAAAATTTAAATTTTCACGAAAAACTGATGAGATTACCATCTCATAAAAAGTTAATGTTTCATAATTAAATGAGAAATAAAGATGCTGCCACCACAATAAACACAATACCCAGATATCTTCATTCTATTTACTTTGCCTTGTTCTTTTAACATACTTTTTTCATTGTTTCTTACTTTGTTTAAATTATTTAAATGTCTACCTACTAGTTTTAAGCTCCTTAAATTAACAAAAATCTTCTTAGTCATTTGTTTGTACAGTGTATCCATTTAAAAAATTTCCAAATTATCCATAAATAGAAATTAATTGTCACAATTCCCCTCTTAGACATTCATATTCATTATAACCTATACAAGGTCAAATAAAAGTTTATTCCAATAAGCTTTTGTTTATTATACGCTCTTCCATGCTATCAGAAACTCTACAACCATGTTTAGATCTCATACTCCACTTTGGAAAAGGTATGATTGCAGTCATTAACTTCACATACTAATTAAGTACTGTAGATAAGCTCTGAAGTCTTACCTAAGCTAACAGGTAATTCGTTACCTTCACAGGAGAACAACTAAAGTGACTCAATATTTTACCATTTTTCCTCATTACACTTAAGCTGTGCTACAAAAACCAAAGTTATGAATTATAGTGAATAGTATAAAGGTTGAAACCCATGATGGAAAGTGTACTTATTAAAACATTATGTTTTGAACTATCAAATAACCACAATACAGTCACCTCTCACCCATCTCCAACCTACCAAACTCCTAGCGGTAGACAATGTTTTCTCTTCTACAGATTACTGCTACACGGCCCTTTTGCTTCTCTATCCTTGCCCCCTACAGTCTACTCTGAAACAGTGAGCAGAGTCAACTTGTAATACCTATATTAGATTGTGACAGTGCTCTGCTCAAAACTCTGCAATAGCTCCTTATTTCATTCAAATAAATGCCAACGTCCTCACAGTAGCCTAGAGAGCCTACAGAATTTCTACTCTCTAGGCCCATCCTTTCTCTCTAACACGTTTTCCAATTACTGTTGCTGTGTGTGTGTCCAGTTGAGTTAACTGAAAGCTACCCTATCTAGCAAACAAAAAAGAACTGCCTCCCAGGATTTTCTACACTGCACTCTTCACCGGAGCAGATCTCCAGATCTTCTCTCCCACAGAGGGATGGGTAGGTTCAAACCCCGATCCTTTGGTTAGCAACCCAGTGCTTAACCATTATGCTACCGGGGCACCTTTTCCTAGTACTATCAGGCACACCCCAACCTTAAATCCTTTGCATTGGTCAGTTTTTCTGCTGGAATCTTCTTTCCCCAGATATCTGAAGCGCTGACTCCTTCACTTTCTTTAAGCATTTGCTCAAACGTAATTTTCTCAATGAAGCCTACCCTGACATGCTTATTTAAAACTGCATCTCACATTCCCAGTGTCCCTTACCTTGCTGTACTTTTTTTTTTCATTTTTCCATGGCACTTCTTTTCTCTTGACATATAATTTACTTATTCCCCAAATTAAGCTTCACAAGTGCAGGGATCTTTGTTTACTCGACTATCATCCCAAGAGATCACAATGCTTAGTAAGTTGTAAGCACTCAAGAAGTATGAATGGATATCACACTTACCACAGAAGGTCATGACTTCTCTAACCATGAATGGATCATAATAATGCGTTTCAACTTAGCTTCAGCACTTCAATACATAACCGGAAAAAAAAAAAAAAAAGGACGTGACTTACACAGTGTATTGGTATTTTGTTCTGTAGGTGTTCCTGTCTCTTTCACTGTACAGAGCTTTGTGGCATCACAATTCTGCCACATGGGTCAGCGTTACCATTCTTACTGTGCAGACTCTGGTAGGAAGTTGTGCAGCTCCCGGCCCAAAGCCACAAAGAGAATTCCTGCAAAATGTGTAGACCTAACACACCACAAAAGCTCATCAACAGTTGCTACCTCTGCAATTAACATTTACAAGGAGTTTTAGAAACGTTTTCCCCAACTACTCCTACCAGCATCTGTGAAAATAATGGCTAATGTGTATGAGGGCTTAGTTTGTCTTACGAGTACCCAAGACCTACTCCATTTGGCAGAAGTGAGTCCCAAGCTCGAGTCGGGCAGCCCGGTTTCTGACAAGGGAACTCAATTCTAGCCCGTCTCACTCACTGGAAAGTCTAAGGAGGCCCCGCCTTGGAACCCGGGCCTGGATTACCTTCGCTCACACCTCGGCCCTCAGGATCTGAGGAAGCTGTGGTTCTTTTGCCCTCCTCACCCGAGGGGGCATCTCCACTTCCGCGCTGCTTCTCGGGGTGGCCGCTCCTCGGCTCTGCGGCGCCCGGAGCAGCGGGGTAGGGAGGCGAAGCACCGAGAGGGCAGGAAGGTGGCCAGTCCCCGCCCACGGGGCACCCAGAGCAGGCGCCCACTTCCAGGCCACACCACTACCGAACGTTCGCCGACGGCGGCCTAAGGACCGTGACGCACTCACTGCGCACGCGCCCTCTGGGCTGGGCTAGCGTCACGTGCGTCAACGTTACGCACGTCGGGGACTCTCGCAGCTCCGAGTTCTCTGTTTTCTAGGTCTTCTTTTTCCGCTGAGAACTTGATCTGGGAAGATCCAGCTTCCCGCCCCGAGGCTGCTGTGACAGCAGAAACTGCACGTAGACCGAGAGTTATTTGGCTCCGCCCCATGAGAAGGTGGAGCGGTG